GACATGCCTCTACAACATTGCACGGGGGCAGTGCCATTGGAGTGTCAGACCAGGGTGGTGGTCCTTATCTTTAAGAAGGGGGACCAGAGGGTGTGTTCCAACTATAGGGGGATCACACTCCTCAGCCAGGGTGCTGGAAAAGAGGGTCTGATTGATAGTTGAACCTCAGATCGAGGAGGAACATAGCAGTTTTTGTCCTGGTCTCAGAACTACGGATCAAAACTTCACCCTCGCTCAGGTTCTTGAGGGAAGATGGGAGTTTGCCCAACCGGTCCACATGTGTTTTGTGGACTTGGAGAAGGCCTATGACCGCATCCCAAGGTGATTCCTGTGGGGGGTGCTCCGGGAGTGCGGGTTGGATGGTTCCTTATTAAGGGCCGTCCAATCCCTTTACCAAAGGAGCACAAGCTTGGTCCGTGTAGCCAGTTGTAAGTCAGACTCATTTCCAGTGAAAGCTGGACTCCGCCAGGGCTGCCCTTTGTCACCAGTGTTGTTCATAACCTTTACGGACAGAATTTTTAGGTGCAGGGGGTGGAGGATGTCCAGTTCAGCAGGCAAAGGATCGCATTGCTGCTTTTTGCGGATTGTCATCCAAGGTTATGGTCCTCAGTCGGAAAAAGGTAGATTGCCTTCCCCGGGTTGGAGGGGAGGTCCTGTCCCAAGTGGAGGAGTTCAAGTATCTCTTGATCTTGTTCACGAGTAAGGGTAGGATGGAGCGGGGGATCAACAGGCGGGTCGGAGTGGTGTCAGCAGTGATGCTTAACCGATCTGTCGTGGTGAAGAAAGAGCTGAGCTGCAAGGCGAGACTCTCGATTTACCGGTTGATCTATGTGCCGATCCTCACCTATGGTCATGGACTTTGGGAAATGACTGAAAGAACAAGATCGCGGATACAAGCAGCCAAAATGAGTTTCCTTCACAGGGTGGCAGGGCTCCGCCTTAGAAATAGGGTAAGGAGCTCAGACACTCAGGAGGTGCTTAGAGTAGAACCGCTGTTCCTCCACACCGAGAGGAGTCAGCTGAGGTGGCTCGGGCATCTGGTTAGGATGCCTTCAGGACGCCTCCCGTTAGAGGTGTTCCAGACATGTCCCACTGGAAGGAGACCTTGTGGCCGGCCCAGGACCAGGTGGGGGGGTTGGATATCTCTCACCTGGCCTGGGAGCGCCTAGGAATCCCCCCGGAGGACTTGGTGGAAGTGGCTGGGTTGAGGGATGTCTGGGCTTCCCTCCTGAAGCTGCTGCCCCCCGGATTAGAGGAAGAAAATGACCACGACGTGACATATCGGGCTCTAACAAGGCCCCTTTGGTATGTAGGACTCAGATCACGTTTTTGATGTGACAGAGGTGTTTCAATGGAATCTTAAACACTCAGTTTTGAAAGGTTTTTGAGAGAAGCAATCTGTCTGTTGTTACAAGTAATGACTCATCTGTAAGTGCCTTTTTTTTCACTTGTCAAACTTCTGCTGAGAGTCCATGTTTGGTGGTTGCACATTAACTCTGTTGAAACTGCTCTGTGTCATCACCGACAACAGCAGCGCAATTGAACTATATTTCCCTTTAGTGGAGAGTGAACTAATTAGCTTGTTTGTGACACTGGTATCAGCCTTCACAGTGTCCAAATGTCCACACAGCTGTCTCTGGGGTCAGACCTGGTGTTGAAGTGCAGATAGAAATAGACGATGAAGAAAGGCACTCCACAGGGGCTCATTACTGTGAAATGATGCTGTAAACATGATGAAGCAACACACTTGAGTCCCAGTGCCCTCGATCACACCTTATAGCACACTGAGGGCAAATGAAGGACAAAAAAGCATGTTTGGATGTTTGTGTGGTAAAAAAAGACTTATCATCAGGCCTTTTTTCAAACAAGGGCACGCATGTTTGAATGCCAGACTGATGGCCCGCAGTAAACACAGACTACCTGACCCCTGGTTGGACCCATTTCAGGAGTCTGAAGAATTTTCACACAGGTTTTAGGTCTTAAAAGTTTTGATACAAAAATAGTGGGATCAGTGTAGGTGAGGGTTCATGGAATTATATTCAGGAAGGGATATTATTATCTAAGCCAGGATGGTCCATGTACAAGAGCCAAACTTTGAGCTGCAGTCAATACACTGAGAAAATAAAGCAGTAACACATTCTGGACATTTTGGTAACATGAGTACTTTAAGTGGTGTGTTGTAGAGACACTAATCAATAATGATTAAAATGAACATAACTGCAGACACTTCAGGTAGATTTGTCAGAGTAACTGCTGTCAAAATGTTAATGAATCCTTCCTGACAGAAATGACCGCAGGCCATATCTAACACAGGTACTGGCTAGGATGAACATGAATTTAATGCTGAATAAGACTAATGCAGTTTAATAATGCTTTTTACAGTAAGATCAGTCATGTTCTATAACATAATCCATGAAAACATTTGACTAGTGAACATAACCATGGATATGAGATTGTTGTGTACATGAAAAGATTGGCATTAAATTCAAATTTTGATATTTTATTAAATGCAAAATAAATAAATAAAAAAGACACAAAAAATTAATTGTGATATTGGCCTTAAGCTGTCTTTCTGTTTATTACCTACATCAGCACCAGCCATTGAAAAAGATATCGGGGTGTATTCACAGAATATCAATGGACATGTTTTCTTATTTAGGGTTAAACTTGAGCTGGAGGCTTGTCCGGTCATTTTCTCAACCTGACAAAAGTAAGAACAGTAAGCCTTGACTCCTTTTGTATAAATGTTATTCTGGATTTTTGGATCAGATAGTCTAATCTGGTGGTAATCTCACACCCACTTATTTTTAAAGGGTTCAGACCATAGACTGTATATAAGATGGACAGAGTCTGCCTCCTCGCTGGGTGAAGCCACTCCGAGAACAGCACCCTCTGATGATGGGCTGCAGTACAGATCATAAATCCCGCCTCCGCCAGCAAAGCTTATGGGACTGTGGACAAACTTTATAAATTTATTACACAGAACATAAATTTTTCTCCCCCCTGCTTGTGATGTTGACATGTAGTTATTGTAAGACTGGTTTGTGCCCAAGTCCTTTTTTTTTTCTGTACAGCTCCGTTTTTAAAAGTTATTAGGGGGTTCATGTTTTCTATGATTGACACCTGGTACAGCCTATGGGCATTCAGGGATTGCGTAGCTCTCCCGGGGGGATACGCTGTTTGAGCCGAGCGTCATCACAGGGACTCTCTGCGACTGCGTGGCCGAATGCGCACAACGCTACTGCACAGCTCTGGTTTCAAGGAAGTGGAGAAAAACCCGGAATTACCGTGAGCTTTTTGGCTTCAAATCCGTATACAGGCGGAAGGCGGAACCACGTTGTCCATCTTAAATACAGTCTGTGGTTCAGACTTAAAGGGACTTGCTGAACATTGAATTGGGTGTTAACTCTAAGTGGTTTGTGTTGACTTCTGTCTTTCTGAAATAAGTTTTGAGCCATGATGCCACTGGGGTCATTCCAAGGTTTGGTACTTGGTGCAGCCAACGGGAGCCTCAGACAGATGTATTTAAGTGCAGACTCCTCAGCAAACAGGTGGATGGACTGGGGGGGCAGATGGACGAAGCTTCAGTGAGCCACAGACTGAAAATATTAAGAGCACAGTTAACCCTGTTGACTTGCTGTTAAATTGGACCTGTGGACTGTCGGCTGGATTGTGTGCTGGAACATGAATTTCTTCAAACATATAAAGCATGAGGACGGGACAGGCAGATAGTTTCCCCTTTGACACTGGGAGATAACTTTATTGATACCTGTATGTAACAGTTTGCTGTCTCCTCTCTTGTTTTATAGTCACTTATTTGATGTGATTTACATTTGACAAACTGTTGTGTATGCTTATTTAAGTCTCTAAACTTCTGCAGAAAGATGTTGACTGGTTTTTAAGAACAGTTTTAGCTGGTGGTCTGGTGGAGGAGTAAACGTGAGGCCCGTGAAAGGAAACATTTCTCCTTCTCTCAAAGATTGTGTTTTTATGTCATCTGCTGAAGATCAAATTTGTCTACAAGGTATGTGCAGGTATACAGAGGAAAACTTGACCTGTGTCAGATTCCAGGCCAAAAGTCTGTTCATTAAAAAACATCATGTAGTTTTTTAAAATCTTAATGATCTGTGAATTATGCCCGAAAAAACAAATCAGGATATACAGGTAAGATTAACGGTTGAGTCTCTTTAGCTAGTCCTGTCAGCCTTGAGAGTGGTGGAGCTGTGTCACTCAAATACCTCAGATACTTCAGTGTTAGATTGCTGGAGCCGGGGGGCCTCTTACAACCATCCTCAATAAGGACCTTGCACCATATTTTACATCACACAGGTCCCCAAAATATGTTCTGTCATGGTATTTCCTTCTATGGACCCTCCATATGTTCACTTAAAGCTCCTTAAAATATGTTGTTCTTTGTTCTTACCGTACATGGATTTTTCTTAGGGTCAACTAAATGTCAGCAGTATGTTTAGAAACGTGAACGACTATATGTACTTGAGTGGTCTCAGACCAATCTTTGTTATGCTTCTGTTATGCTTCTGTTACACTTTGCTACACTTTGTTACACTTGTGGCATGATAAAGCTGTAACCCAGATCTGTAACCAGTAAAGCTTGTCAAAATGATCATTCGTGTGGACCTTCCATTTTTATAAGCTGTGAACATGGGCTAGGCATCCTTACATTAACTGATGAGAAACAAAGATGGAAAGTCATGTGACAGGTGTCCTCTTAAGAGTTGTGAGTTTAACCAGCAGGTTTGCTAGATGCTCTGACTAAAGTAGAAATGATTGAAACAAAAACCTCTCAGATATGCTAATCATGCTAACAGGACAGTCAGAGACTTATCAATCTTGAGCGCATATCTTGTTGTGAAAAATATGTATGTATGTATGCAGCAAGATAATGCACAGGAGACAGGAAGAGATCTGAAGAGCAGCCTGGTAGTCTTTATTATACAGATGTAGAAAACAGTACAGATGTAACAGACCAAGACCACCAGAGGAAGCCTCAAATGCTCCTCTCACTCACTTTTATTCTGCTGAGTGCGTATCTGAACATAATCATTGTGTGTTACACTGTGTGCTTACAACTATGTGTGTGCATTGTGTGCTTACAGATGTGTGCCTCTAATGTGTTTGTGTGTGTGTACATGCGTAAATCCCTTAGATGTATATTGCAAGTGTGGGCCGTCTAATGCCCGATATCTGACCCTCTGACCCTCCGGAGGTTGTCCAAGGACATATTACGTTATTTAAAAAATCAACAAAACATCAGTTTGCTGAAAAACCAACTCAACTTTCCTGGAAGTCATCAGGACTTTAACTCTTTTGGTGGACTAAGATAAGTTCAAGCTCTTGCAAAACAGCTTGCTCACACAACCTCACAGTTGTGAGGCCGTGTAAGTAAGGCCATCCTGACCTATTTTTAAATCATTAATATAAACAATAATATAAATAATAATGATCTCCTCCAATCTGAGTGCAGAGTTTATCGTATGATAAGACACACATAAGCAATGCGCCACAGTGGCGCATGTGTGTGTGTGTGCGCAGTGTTAATTCATTTAAATTAAAATGAAGCTCTAAAAACAGTAATGAGTATCTCTTACCAAACCTCTAACACAGAAAACAGATCTGCATCACATCAGGACAAAGTCACAGTACAGCACCCTGACACTGACGTTGTCATCAGTAACAGGGACCAAAGGTTACAGCCTCGCCCATTTATTGGAGAAAGCTTGCTCTTTTATTGTCACTGATATCAAATACACAGCAAAGTGAAGAAGTCAGTGCAAGTTGATGATCCACTTGTCTTTATCACTATACTCCATTCATCAAGTACTGAAATAGTCACCAGTACCCTGATTATATAGTTGTATGTCCCTGTTTTATATTGAGGAATAATAATAAAGCGCAGAGTGCTACAGCGTGATGTCTTGGATTCACTTTTGTAGCAGAAAGATTCAAAAATGTAACGCAGATGAAAATATCTGCATACTTTTACAGTTGCAACACAACTTTTTTGTTGTCTGCCAGCTAACAGCTTTGTATTGATACTCTAAAGAATATTTTCTGAATGTAAAATGAACACCTGACCTATACTACCCACTGTTCTAATTTTAAAACTAGCAGGTCAAGGTAGAACCAAAACCATCAAAGAGAGGGGACTTTTTCTGGTCCTGAAACACATGTGTAGCATCAAGACAACCCTGTGTGTGAAACTCACATATTCCTCAAAGGAAAGGTCCCTTATCTGGTTCCAGATCACAGGATAATATAATCTTTTCAGACTTGTTTGTACTTTCAGGTTACTTAACTGACCCAAACCTCTGGCCCTTCACAATTGGTCAATTTTGAGAACAGAGACAGAGTTTTTCCATCACTGACCATCTAAATAAACATTAATGCTTCAGCCCAGGTCTCCCATTTGAGATTTACTGTCAGTGTGTGAACACATGGGATACAAGGAAAGGTCTGAGGAGCAGGACGCTGACCTCCAGACCTCCGTCATAAAACCCTGCCGACCATGTACTGATAAAAACTGCATTCCTTTAGAGAAAGAATACAAATGACTGATAATGACATCTTATACATTCAGCAATGTACTAATCTGTCTAATCATGAAATTTGTGTTAAAATGAAATGTGTCCTTTTTTCTGTGTTCCAGAAGCCAAGTTATCACTCTGACAGAATAAATCCTTTATTCTTTAGTTTCTTTAGACCAACAGGTTTTCAGACTGTTTCATGAACTTTTAAGAGTTACATTTAATGAATATGAATCATAACTTTACTCAAAGTAACAGGAATAGTTTAGAAATGTTTGGTTTATATTTTAATCATTTATTTAGTATTTTTAACCACTAGGTTGTAATTGAATAATGTAACTGAATTAACTGAATGTTAGTATTATTAATCATGATGTTCATTCACATGTGTTTACTCTTTTGTTGTTTACAGTTTCTATGTGTTGGGTGGGTAGCTTTCGCACACTTTTGGCAGCCCCTTTCATCAAGGCAGAGAAAAGTAAAATGACAGAGGCAAAGATAAATGAAAGTCACCGAGCTGTGAGCAGATTTGTGGTCAAAGGGTAGGTCACAACAAATTATTAGTGCATGGATGTGCCATATCTTCTGTCCAATGGTGACAATGGTAAAGAGTTCTTGCAAACAAACCCATTTGTATCATCTTATTTCTCACTCAATGAGAATCATTAAGAGAACTGATAAGGAATCATTGCAATAAGCAGTATAGATAATGGAATCAGAATAGCTAAATTCTTAATAAATTCCCACCCCAATGCATGGGACTTGGTGGCTTAACTTACTTTATATCCTATTTTATAACATACAGTACAGCTCAAAAGTTCGGACACACCTTCTCATTTAAGGCATTTTCTTTATTCTCAAAACTATTTAGATTGTAGATTTTCACTGAAGGCATCATGTGCTTAAGAAAAAAGTGTGAAATAACTGAAAACATGTTTTATTTTTTAGATTCCTCAAAGTAGCCACCCTTTGCTTTTTTGATAGCGCTGCAAACTTTTGCTGTTCTCTCAATGAGCTTCATGAGGTAGTCACCTGAAATGGTTCTTACTTCACAGGTGTGCCTTGTCAGGGTTACTTTGTGACTGACAGAGTCAGTCACTAAGTACTTCTGTCATCAAGAGCAAAGGGTGGCTATTTTAAGGAAACTAGAATATAAAACATGTTTTCAGATATTTCAAACTTTTTTTAAAAGTACAAAACTCTGCATGTGTTCATTCATAGTTTTGATGCCTTCAGTGATAATCTACAACGTAAATAGTCATATAAAAAATAAAGAAAAGACATTGAATGAGAAGGTGTGTCCAAACTTTTGGCCTGTACTGTATTTCAATGTTAAAAATCAAAATATAACTCAAACACACATTTAGAATGTAGATCAACATTCTGTAGTATTTAAGGTTTATTATATCTGGCTTTTCAGACAGTAAATAAAGGTTTTTAAGCCTCTCTGTTCATCTGGAGACTCAAAGGCTTCTTCCCTGACTGTGGTTATAGTTCCTCATTTCTGCCTCTGGAGGGCAGCAGAGCTATGTTCACCTTTATATATAGGTGTGATAAGATGGCACATTAACTCTTTCTTGGGGTTTGGGTTTGTTAAGCTCAGACTTAAGATGTAGCTCAATGGCAATAGATTCATTACTGCTGAAGAGAAGTTTTGGACACAAACCTTTCTGATTGTCAATGTCAGGGTTTATTGATGTAGCGATCTGAATTTATAATAAATGTCTTTATATGAATATTTGATAATAATCTGAAATTATGATATTTATGCACTTGTTAATAAGGGCGCCACCCACCTTTAATTGTGGGGAAAAAAAAGAAAACCAAAAGTTTAATTCAAAAATCAAACATTAAGTCAATCTTACATCAATTTTAAATCAATCTCATATCTCAAGCCAAATTTCTTATTTCAGGGACTCCACTTCTGGAAGAACACAAATAGATAAGAACTTAAAAAAATAAATAAACTGTATATTAAAGGATAAATGATGGTACAATATACATGCAATAAATGAGGAATGAATATGCTCTGAAATATTAACCTACATTAACTGTACTGATAAATTTGGATGTGGATTTGGATGAATTTAGGATAACTCTAATTGGTTATTGTTTGAATCATGGATGCATCAAACAGCATCAGCCCTGTTTGGAGCTCTTGAGGTATGCATACTCAATATAAGTGGGGCTGGTCCTGGGGTAGGATGTAGCAGGTTCACCAAAGGTCTGGGCTACTGGCGGTTTGATAGGTTTGGCTCATCAGAGGACTTAAGTCAGAACAAGATGGGCCAGGAGTCACAGCACACAGGCCTGAATGCAGAACCATTGCCTTATTTATCCTTTTGCTGTTCCTTCAGTCTCACCGCAAAACTCTGGCTCAGAGGATGACTTTGGGCCTGCTATGTGGTGTTCAGAGGCGTACAAAAATAGTTGACGTTTCAAAACTTGAACTAAGATGATGTCAAAAAAAAATCATACAATGTGAATGAACATGTGATGTAAAACTTAAAAAAATTGGCGGGAAAAATTAGAAAAGTACGAGAAGACAATGAAAGAGCTGGACTTAACAACAGAGTAAGAGACTGCTCCAAAGAGAAAGAGGGCATGAGCACCCTAACTTTACTGTTTTTATGTTCTTCGAACTGGGGTGTGTGAGTGTGAGGGGAGAGAGGAGGGGTCGCTGGTCTCCTGCTACCTTCAGGTTCCCTGATTATTCTAACTTGTACTGTGGTGAGACGCCTCCTCATCCTGTTTTATTTTGGCTGGACTTCCTGTATTTCCCTGTTTGCCTGGTCTGGCTTTACTCTTTTCCAGGGCTTCCTCCCCTCCCCCGGCGCTGAGGCTGAGTGAGTCGACACACCTGCTCCACATCTCCAATCAAGGGACTTTAAGAAGCCTGCAGCCCTCACTCTCAGCGCCTGAGTATTGTCTACCCTTCCTCGTGGTAAAGACGCGTCTCCTGGCCAACTTCGTTTGTATAATCATCAGAACTTTGCTCCTCGTGATTCTGTGCATGTACAATAACTTCCATCTCCTCTGGTTTTTCCTGCAGTGTCTCCAGCCCACACGACAGCCAGCCAGCCAGCCAGCCAGCCAACCGGACATCCTCTGTTGCATTATCTACCCCTTTTGTTTGGACATTAAAATCTCTTTAAGTTTATCTCAGTCTCAGTGTCTGCCTCTGGGTCCTCACCACGAACCTGCCGCACTACATGTACTTTTAGCTGGTAAAGAAGTCAGATCTGATTCTCACTCACTATGAATAATGTTGTTGAATGCTTTGTTCATAATAAATTATTTTAACTAATCACATAGAAAGAAATGTAAAAAACATTCACATTGGGTTTTTAAGTATCACTTTTCAAAAGAGGACTGAACATGCTAAATTACTCTGAAATGAAACAGATAGTAACACATCCAATTTTTGAAAAACAAAAGTGTAAATACATATAAATGAACCTCATTATGATAAATAATGGATTCTATATACAGTACAGCCCAAAAGTTTTGACACACCTTCTCATTTAATGCATTAACTTTATTCTCAAAACTATTTAAATTGCAGATTTTCACTGAGGGCATCAAAACTATGAATGAACACGTGGAATCGTGTGCTTAAGAAAAAAGTGTGAAATAACTGAAAACATGTTTTATATTTTAGATTCCTTAAAGTAGCCACCCTTTGATTTTTTGATAGCGCTGCAAACTTTTCTGTTCTCTCAATGAGCTTCATGAGGTAGTCACCTGAAATGGTTTTTACTTCACAGGTGTGCCTTGTCAGGGTTACTTTGTGACTGACAGTCAGTCACTAAGTACTTCTGTCATCAAGAGCAAAGGGTGGCTATTTTAAGGAAACTAGAATATAAAACATGTTTTCAGTTATGTCACACTTTTATTATAAATACAAAATTCTACATGTGTTCATTCATAGTTTTGACTAATCTACAATGTAAATAGTCATATAGAAAAATAAAGCAAAGACATTGAATGAGAAGGTGTGGCTAAACTTTTGGCCTGTTCTGTACTTACATTCAGATTATTCAATTACATCAATAACAACCTATTTGTCTAAAGAAACTAAACAAATTATTAAAATATAAAGCAAAAATTTCTAATTTTTCTTGTTACTTAGAGTACAGTTATGATTCCTAGTTGATACATTTAACTCTTACAAGTTCATAAAACAGTCTGAAAAGCTGTTGGTCTATAGAAAATAAAGAATAAAGGATTTATTCTGTTAGAGTGATAACTTGGCTAGAAGAATGGGACACATCTCATTTTAACACAAATTTCACGATTAGACAGATTAGTACATTGTTGAGTGCATAAGATGTCATTATCAGTCATTTGTATTATTTCTCCAAAGGAATACAGTTTTTTATCAGTACCTTGTCCAGCAGGTTTTTATGACAGAGGTCTTGGTAAGTGTCCTGCTCCTTAGACTTTTCCTTGGATTAGGTAATAAACAACTCTGTCTCTGTTCTTCAAATTGACCAATTGAGAAGAGCCAAAGTTCTGAATCAACCTCTGGTTGGGTCAGTTGGGAAACCTGAAAGTGCAAACAAGTCTGGAAAGATTTATATGACCCTGTGACCTGGGACCAGATAAGGAACCTTTCCTGTGAGGAATATGTGAGTTTCACACACAGGGTTTCCTTGATGCTATATTACACCAGCCCACATAATACCACTTTTTAGAATCACTGCACTGGCTCCCTATGTGTTTTAGGATTGATTTTTTTAGTTTTTATTTTTTTAGTTTTTTTACTTATTACATGTCTTAGTGGTCTTGCATCTTCTTATTTCTCAGAACTGCTTTTACCCTCTGAACTTTTTTGGGCCCTGCACTCCTCTAGCAGTAGGCTCCGAGTCATTCCCAAAGTTAGGATACACACTCACAGCGAGGCATCTTTCCACTATAATTTTTTAACTTATTTTTATCCTTTTATCATTTTAAGGACTCCAAATGTTTCCTCTGGGGAGCCTTTTTCACCTGGAGCAGTTGTCGGCTGTGGTTGCAGGGCCCTGTCCAGTGGACTCAGGGGAGGTTGTGCCTCCTACATCTCTGCTCTGGCCCTGTGTCTGTATCATAGACTGTATATACTATGGACAACTTGGTTCTGCCTACCGCCTGTATACGGATTTGAAGCCAAATAGCTCTCGGTATTTCCGGGATTTTTCTTCATTTTCTGAAACCAGCACTGCGCAGTAGCAATGCGCGCATTCGGCCGCGCAGTTGCAGAGAGTGTGATGACGCTCTGCTCAAACAGCGTATCCCCCGGGTGAGCTCAATCCCTGAATGCCCATAGGCTGTATCAGGTGTCAATCATAGCAAACATGAACCCCCTAATAACTTTTAAAAACGGAGCTGCACAAAAAAAAGAGGACTTGAGCACAAACCAGTCTTACAGTAACTACATGTCAACATCAAAAGCAGGGGGGAGAAAAAATTATGCTCTGTGTAATAAATTTCTAAAGTTTGTCCACAGCTCTATAAGCTTTGCTGGCGGAGGCGGGATTTATGACCTGTACTGCAGCCCGTCAACAGAGGGTGCTGTTCTCGGAGTGGCTTCACCCAGCGAGGAGGCAGACTCTGTCCATTCTATATACAGTCTATGGCTGTATCCTGTGGCTGTGGGCAGCTGCTCTCTCAACAGGTTCATCTATACTCTGCAGGTGTGTGGGTGTGGGTGTGTGTTGCTTTGGGTGTGACTGTGTATGGGACTGTTGGATGCCAGTTGTATGGTTGTGGGGGTAGGGTGGTTGGATGGAAGGACGTAGGGCTGTTTTAATAAACAGTATAGCACTTTGTGTTACACAATTTGCATGAAAAGTGCTTTATAGATAGTTTTATTTGTTTGTGTGTACATTTACTTTGATTTTATCTTTTCATTACACTCCATCTATCCTTCTTTGACTCATCTGTTTCTCTTATTTTCAGCACCAAACCTGTCAGTTACAAACCTCAGCATGTGAAGCCTCTGTAAACATGCCCTAACGCTGTAAATGTCACCAGTTTATCATCTTGTACAGAAATGTCCCCTCTGATCAACAATGTTAGGTTACTTTGTTTTACTCACCCCTGACTCAGAGGATTCCAGGTAGCATCAAGTAGCTGCAGTAAGTTTCAGCTCATGAAGAAGAGGAAACTCCAGGGGCCTCATTTACACTACAGGCCAAAAGTTTAGAAGCAAGATCAGATTTGTACAAAAAAGATCATAGTTTCATATATATAATTAGCAACACAATAAAAATGACTGTTGTGTAAAGAGTAACTTATCAGAAGACATTTTGACTATAGTTATAAGGTATTTGAGTTATTGTTGCTTAGACTTTGCTTTCTTTAAAGTAATCTCCTCTGGCTTTAACAACAGCTTGGCATATACCAGGCATTCGTTCCACACGTTTTTTAAGGTATGTTCCAGGGATTGCATTCCAAGCTTTCTTAAGTTCATTAAAAAGAGACTGCTGATTCATGGGATGCGTTTTTCTGACCGATCGATCCAATTAATCCCGCACAAGCTCAGTTGAGAAAGGTTTGGAGACTGAGGGGGCCAAACCATCTTTTGAAGAACACCTTCCTCTTCTTTTTTGTGTAGGTAACCCTGACAGAGCTTGGCAGAGTGCTTAGGGTCATTGTCTTGCTACAAAACAAACTTATGAGCCACAAGTCTTAGTCCAGATGGAACAGCATGGTGCTGGAGGATGGAGTGGTACTGTTCCTTCTTCATGATACCGTTTACTTCAAACAAATCTCCTACTCCATCACCTGCAAAACATCCCCATAACATGGAACTACCACCTCCATGCTGAATTGTGGGTGTAACACATGGGGCTTTCAGAGGTTCACCAGTTTGTTTGTGGACATAGACTCTATGTTTTGAACCAAACAGTGCAAACTTGTTTCTAGTTATCATAAGTCCAATTTTTGTGAGCTTTTGCCCACTCATATCTCTTTTTCTTGTTCTGTGGAAGAAGTAGTGTTTTTTTGCAGATACACAACCCTTTAGACCAGCCTTTCTCGAACGTCGTTTCATGGTTGTCAGAGATATGGGTTTCGACCTTGTCATGTTGATTTCCTCCCTTATTTTTGGTGCTGTCTTTTGCCGATCTCTCTTACTGGTGACAATGCTATATTTATCCTCTGCATTTGTAGTAACTCTCTTTTGTCCAGGTCTTTTTCTATCATCTTAACTTCCAGGTTCCTCTGGTCTCTTCAGAGTGTAGTGGACTCCTTTGTTAAACACCTTTAGGCGTTTTGCAATTTCTCTTTCTGTGTATCCTTCTTTCCTCAATGTACAAATATGTACTTTTGTTTCTTTACTCAGCTGCTTCTTTCAAGCCATTTTTGCTGTAGTTTGAATGCAGTTGAGATTTATTAGGATTTTTGTATGCAGACTCTCAAAAGCCAAATAGTTGAAATAAATAATCCAACTGTAATTTGTTTTTTTGCTTTTGCACTGAAGTTGTAACTCTTGCATATGTTTTCAACCCTAAAACTAAGCCCTTATTATCTTTTGCTGACATATATTAAGCAATGGTCTGTTAACATCAATTTAAATCTAAAGGTAAATGGAGTAAAATGGTGCATTTCCATGAAAGCAACATCTGATCATGGAGTAAATACATCCTAAAATACATAAAACTCATGCTGGATTTTTAAAAAAGCATTGTGAATAAAAGCTTGAAGTTACTCCCAACTGTTCGGCCAGTAATGGCCTTGCTTCCAAACTTTTGGCCTGTAGTGTATCAACTGTGTGTACGCACAGATGTGTGCATAATGAGTGTGTACGAACATTCCCACGCAAAGTATGGAATTTATCAACCTGTACTTGTGCTTAGGAACGTGCGTAAATTTACAACTACAATTTACAATTTACAAAGCACAACTCTAACCATGTGTGCACACAAAACCTAGTGGTAGGACAGTAAAACTACAAATAGAACCCATTAAAAGGAGTCATAGCATTCAGCAATCTCAAACTTCACACATGTTCTCTGTTGCCTCTACACAAAATTTATCAATTAGTTATTTAGCAGACATTTTGAATGATTGGTGAGACAAGCTATAAAAATCTGCTGTGACAGGACAACTTCAAAAAAAGTCTTACAGGTACAAATACAAGTATCGTGGTTTGTCCATGTAGATTCTCATTCATCCAGGTCATGGTTATATCTATGTGACCACATGACTCATGTCCCCTTGGTCATGTGGTTCCAGATGTGAATGTTTGTAGAGCTTCCTGGGGAGAGAGCTGAGAACTGCATTGTAAGTGCCGGAGAGATTGTGCCTGAGTCCACCCCCTCTGTTCAGAGAAGGTTTCTCCAGCCTGGTAAAGATGGCTTCTTTAACTCCTCTTTCAAACCATCTGTCTTCTCGAGCCAACACCTGTACAATGCTGTCCTCGAAAGAGTGACCCGTATCCTTCAAGTGAAGGTGGACAGCTGAGTCCTGACCTGAGGAAGTGGCTCTCCTGTGTTGAGCCATGCGCTTGTGAAGCAGTTGTTTAGTTTCCCCAATGTACAGGTCCGAGCATTCCTCGCTGCACTGGACAGCTTACACCACATTACTCTGTTTATGTCTCGGTGTTTTGTCCTTGGGACAGACTAGCTTCTGCCTTAGTGTGTTACCAGGCTTGAAGTGAACAGGAATATGGTGTTTGCCAAAGATCCCCTTGAGTTTTTCCGACAGGCAACGTAAGGGATTATGGTCCTCTTGCGTCTCTCCTCCCTTTCGTGTTCAGTGTTATTTCTCTTTCTGTTCTTTACAAAGGCCCACTTAGGGTATCCACAGGTTGTCAGGGCATTTTTGATGTGCTTCTGTTCCTTTTCCTTACCTTCTTTCTTCGTGGGGATATTCTCAGCCCGGTGGTTGAGTGTTCTGATGACACCCAGTTTGTGCTGCAGAGGATGGTGGGAATCAAAAAGTACATACTGATCCGTGTGTGTTGGTTTCCTGTACATTTCAACGTTGAGACACCCATCTGCCCCCAAGTGTACAGCACAGTCCAAAAAGGCCAACACATTGTCCTTGACATCTTCACGGGTGAACTTGATGTTGCTGTCCACTGTGTTGATATGGTCAGTGAAGGCCTCTACTTCATGTGTTTTGATCTTAACCCAGGTGTCATCCACATATCTGAACCAGTGGCTAGGTGCTGCTCCTTTGAAGGAGGTAAGGGCCTTCCTCTCTACCTCTTCCATGTACAGGTTTGCCACTATTGGAGAAACCGGGGAGCCCATAGCGCATCCATGTTTCTGTCTGTAATGGCGCTCTCTGAACTGGAAATAGGTGGTGCTGAGGCAGATGTCCAATAAGGAGCAGATGTGGTTGGGGGTTAGGTTGGTTCTGACTTCCAGTGTGCTGTCCTGTAAGAGGCGCTGTCTTACAGCTTGGACTGCCTCTGTTGTTGGAATACTTGTGAAAAGTGATGTGACATCATAGGAAACCATGGTTTCATCTGGGTCCAGCCTGATGTCCTTGATTTTCTCTGCAAAGTCCTGTGAGTTTCTGACGTGGTGAGTGGTGTGGCCGACAAGAGGAGCTTGGATGGTGGCCAAATGTTTTGCCACTTTGTATGTGACTGAGTTAATGCTGCTGATGATGGGTCTAAGGGGGGCCCCTTCCTTGTGTATTTTAGGTAATCCATAAATGCACGGGACAGCTTCCCCTGGGTACAGCCGGTAATAGAGTGGGCGGTCGATAACTCCATCCTTTTCGAGCTGTTGAAGTGCACTGATAACTTTCTTTTTGTAGCTGTTGGTGGGATCCCATTTTAGAGTTTCATAGGTGGCAGTGTCACTGAGAAGGCTTGTTACCTTGTCATGGTAATCCCTGGTGTTGAGTACCACAGTGCATCTCCCCTTATCTGCAGGCAGGATGGTGATGTTTTCGTCTTTTTGCAGTGATGCCAAGGCTTTTCTTTCCTGCATGGTCAGGTTGGAAGGAGGTGTTTTGGCATTCGAGAGAGCAGCTGTTACCTTCAACCTAAGTTGCTCTGCCTCCGTGACCGCCAGATTGTTGTTGCGGATCGCTGACTCCGTGGCTGTGATAAGGTCTACCACCGGGATCTGTTCTGGGGTAACTGCAAAATGTTGTCCTTTGTAAAGGACTTCCTTTTCCGGCTGAGTGAGAACCCTGTTTGACAAATTCTTCACCCACTTTTCTTGCATGTTGGTGTCTGTGTGGCTGTCAGTTTTGTCCCTCCAAACAAGTTCTGATGGAGTCTTTGACTGCTTAGAGAGCAGTCTGTCAAATTTCTGTGATTGTCTTGTCTTGCCTTTGTTGTGTTGAGAGTTCTGAGCCTTGTCAACAAAGTTGTGGACATTGTTGAGGATGTCCTCTGGAAGTCGGGATGCCAGTGTCTCCTTGGTGTGATATATTTTAGCTTGTAAGGCCTCGATGGTGAAATTGACCTGCCTAATCCTTTCATTGAGGAGCTGCTTGTGTGTCCTGGGAAGGATGCTGTCTGCTCTGTGCCCTTTAACGGTGGAAAACAAGCGTAGGCTTTTGGGAACAAGTCCTTGCTGTCTGCATCTTAGGTTGAAGCGGAGGTGGTTTCTGTAATCCGCCATCTTCCTGCAAGTTTTCTCGTGCTCCCGGACCAGCTGAAGGGTACCCAACCCAAAGTGTGATCCAATATGTCCATGTAGATTCTCATTCATCCAGGTCATGGTATCGTGGTTTATTTTGCACTATTGGAGGACTGCTCCCTGTGTCTGCTCCTTCGCAGGGAGCGCGTTTTTAAAGAACATGCTGATCTGTTCAGTGAGAACAGCAGCATTCTCAGCAGGTACCGCTTTCCGCAAAACATTTTAATGGATTTATGCTGTGATTTACTACCTGTGTCGGAGTGAGAAACAAAATACACCAAAGCTATCCCAGAGTACATCCAGCTCCCTTCTACCCTAACCGGAACATTTCAGCTTGAGATTGAAGTCATATGCAATATTTCGCAGCCAACGCTAAGCAGAATCATGCCGGCAAAGTTGGATGTAATAATTTCTCTGGCCTCCATTTACATCCAGTTCCCAAACACACATCAGCAACAAGCCGAAATAAAACGAGGATTTCACGCCATCGCCGGATTTCCCAAATATAATCCTAGATGGGTGATGCGATCCATTGATCAGCAATAAGACCTGACGAGACGTAGTGTGAGTATTAATAGGGCCCAGCGCCCTGAGATCTGTGATGAGACTGACTGGCCTAAACTATCTACAACACCTGTCCAGCGTAAGAAGCAGCTGTGGATAGCTGCCAAGGCAGGCCCTAAAATCAAAAACAATCTCCCCCAGCAGCAGCAGCCATCCCTCCCACTGCACAACAGATTTGCTCCACTGTTCCGGAATCCTGAATCCTCATCTCCGCATAGCAGGGTAAGATCCGAGAGAAAAACAAAAAACGGGGAACCTCAAACATTGATTGTGGGTGATTCTGCAATAAAAGATCTACAAAACATGAGCAAAAATAGCAAAGTGCTCTGCTTCCCCAAGGATGTGGTCTGTGACAAAACAGGCAAAATTGGGCATATAGTGGCCTCATATCCCTCTCTGACAGCTATTGTGATTCACTGTGGAGCTAATGACATTGTAACAGAACAATCTGAAAAACTAAAACATGATTTCAGTGAACGATTAAAAACAGTCAGCTCCCTGAGTGCTCAGGTATTCATCAGTGGCCCCCTTCCACCAATCAAAAGAGGAGATATGAGATTTAGACTGTTTGCCCTGAATCGATGGCTATCTACTGCCTGTACCAAAGTCAACTTCATTGATAACTTCAGGCTGTTCTGGGACCGCATGCATTACTTCAGAGCAGACAGACTCTCTCTAAACAAAGCTGGAGTGAAACTATTCACCTCCAACCTGTATCACTTCCTGCGTCACCCATTTGTCAAGGACAAGAGACAGAAAGACATGAGATAAAACACCACGGCCTAGACAGAAAGATGCCTCGGGCCCCCCGCGCACTAAAAGCTTTGGTTCAAGCCAGAAGGAGGAGTCTGTACTTCCTCTACCACCACTCTCCTTAGAGGACCCACCCTGCTCAAGCAAGGAGGAGGAATCTCTACTTCCTGTATGCCCACCTACCGAGGAGGACGTGCCCTGCCAAACTTCACCCATAGCATCCTCCTCCCTGGGCACACCATCCCCATCCCCCTCCTCCTCTCTCCTGGACTTTCCAGCTGAACTGAGAGAACTGGAGAATGCTGGAGTGAGACTTAGCGGCACGCCTCTCCACCACTCCAGCCACAGGACCCCCCCCCCCCCCCCCCCAACGTGCCCCTCCTCCCCCACGACAAGGAGTACTGCAGCATCCTCTCCCTCAGTGTGATAAGAGCACAGGACTAACAGTGAGGAACACCTCGTTCTCAATAAGCTCTTGCTGATATGTTTTGGGTCCAGGCAAGGATAACTACAGTTATCTCTCTTCCCAGGACAGCCTGTGGCCCGATGAGGTAACGTCATCAATCCCAGTCTTAATAAGTAATAGACATACTAATCTGCCTAGAAACAGAAGGTACCTAACCAAGAATTTATCAAATTTAGCTTCCATCCCTGTCAGCCCATCATGAAAAATAGTACAGATAATTTCTCTAGCACACTACATTCAGCTCTATTAAATGTCAGATCTTTAGCTGGAAAATCATTCTTAAGCAACGATTTTATCATCAAGCACAATCTCAACTTAATGTTTTTAACTGAAACCTGGTTAGACAAGATAACAGTGCAACTGTACTTATCGAGTCAGCCCCCCCTAACTTTAGCTTTATGAGTAAAACGAGGAAGCATAGAAAAGGAGGGGGAGTACCTATCTTATTCAAGGACTCAATGCAATGTAAACAGATGTATTATGGGAATTTTCCTTCCTTTGAATATTCAGTTGAACTCTGCTATTAGAGCAATATTCCTTAACATCTACAGACCTCCTAAATACTGTGTGAATTTTTTTGATGACTTTACTGAATTGTTGTCTATAATCTGTATTGACTTTGACTGTGTAGTGATTGTTGGTGATTTTAACATTCACGTTGACAACCCCCAGGACAGAGGCACCAAAGAATTGTGCTGTCTCCTTGATAACTATGGTTTGACCCAACATGTAACAGAGCCCACACACAATAGAGGTCACACTCTAGACTTCATTATTTCCAAGGGCCTGAACATACCCAAAATTATGGTTACTGGTGTTGCTATCTCTGATCATTCCTGTGTGTTTTTTGAGAGTACCATTTCTATGCACATTACTACTCAGACAGAGGTAATCACCAAGCGGCTTATCACTGACAACACCAGTGAAATATTTAATCAAGCTTTGACTCCTCTCCCAGCTCTCTCACGGCTCTCGGTCAATGAGCTTGTAGAAGACCTTTGCTCTAGAATCACAAATGTGATGGATGCCATTGCGCCCACCAAGGTGAAAATAGTCTCTGGCAAGAAAAGCTCTCCATGGAGGAATGCCGCGCTGGTTAGAGCTGAAAAAAGAGTGTCGAAAAGCCGTATGCAGATGGCGAAAGACAAGCCTTCAGGTTCACTATCAGATCTATAAAGAGAGACTTTGTATCTTTAACCTAGAACTGAGAAATGCTAGGCGATCCCTCTTCTCAGACATCATCACCAAAAACAAAAATAATGTCGACAGGCTAACAAACCCTCCAGTATCAGTAGCCTCTGAATTTCTGTCCGCCAAGGCTTGTAATGAATTTGCCTTCTTCTTCAATAACAAAATCCAGAAAATTAGACAAACAGTCAGTAGCTCAATATCCGGTACAGGACATGTGTTGTCCATGTGTACTAACCCCAGTAGCATGACACAATTCAACCCGATCAACATTAAAACCCTGGAGGACATCATACTAAACTCCTCCACCTGCTGCCTTGATATTCTGCCAACAGGCTTCTTTAAAACAGTTTCTAATTGCATGGCCTCAGATCTTCTACAGATTGTCAACATGTCACTTCTGTCAGGTGTCTTTCCACAGGCCCTGAAAACTGCTGTCATAAAGCCTCTCCTAAAAAAGAGCAACCTAGACAACTCAACAGACAACTCTAGACAACAATTGCAGGCCTATATCGAACCTCCTGTTTTTGGGGTTCCTCATGTGGGGTTCCCCAAGGCTCCATTCTGGGGCCACTTCTATTCAACATTTACATGCTCCCTCTAACTCAAATCATAGCAAACAACAAAATATCTTACCATAATTATGCAGACGACACACAGATTTACATAACCATATCGCCAGGCGACTAAAATCCAATACAAACACTGAGTCAGTGCATTGAACAAATCAGTGATTGGATGTGTCAGAATTGTCTTCAACTAAATAAAGATAAAATTGAAGTAATTGTATTTGGAGCAGAAGAAGAGCGATTAAAAGTCTGCGCTCAGCTTCAATCGATAATGTTAAAAAGCACAAACCAAGCCAGAAACGTTGGTGTTGTCATGGACTTTCCGAATCTGAATCTTAACAGCCACATAAAGACAATTACAAAGTCAGCCTACAATCACCTGAAGAATATATCAACGGTTAAAGGACTGATGACCCAGCAGGATTTGGAAAAGCTTGTCCATGCATTTATCTTCAGCAGACTCGACTACTGTAACAGTGTCTTCACAGGTCTCCCCAAAAAATCCATCAGACAGCTCCAACTGATTCAGAATGCTGCTGCTCGAGTCCTCACTAAGACCAAGAAAGTAGATCATATCACCCCAGTTCTCAGATCTTTACACTGGCTTCCTGTTTGCCAAAGAATTGATTTTAAGATACTATTGCTGGTTTTTAAAGCACTGAAAGTTTCAGGACCAAAATACATTTCTGACCTGCTGGTATGTTACGAACCATCCAGACCGCTCAGATCTTCAGGAGCAGGTCTGCTCTCTGTCCCCAGAGTCAGAACTAAACGTGGAGGAGCAGCTTTTAGTTTTTATGCTCCTCATATCTGGAACAAACTCCCTGAAAACTGTAGGTCTGCTGAAACTCTCAGTTCTTTTAAATCACAGCTGAAAACACAATCGTTTGCCGTGGCCTATCATTAAATCAAACCTGAGGCCTTTAATCAACATCTTCATCATCTGCCTGTCTTGATCTTTTTTCTCTCTCTCCAATCTAACTTTTGTTTTCTTTTATCTCCAACTTTATTTTAGCATTGAATGTAACTTTTAAAAGTTTTATACGCTGTTTTTACTTTTCAAATTGTGTTGAATATCTGTTTATTTTTGCCTGTTTGTTTTATGTAAAGCACCTTGAATTGCCCTGCTGCTGAAATGTGCTATACAAATAAACTTGACTTGACTTGACTAAAAGGTGTGTGGTGACTGGGTTACCGCTTAGACAACCTTAAAAGTCTAGATAAGGGATCTGAGACAAAGAAAATCCCGAACCATAGTGAGTAGGTTCTAAAAGATAACTCAGGACCATAGTGAAGAGAAAAGAAAACAGAGAGGCCTAAAAAGAAGTGAGAATGAGTGTGTGAATGAAGGTTTACATTCTACAACTGAAGCAGCGGGTGGCCAAAAACCATTGGCAGTTCAAGCAGGTTGCAGAGTGACCTTATGTTGACAGCAAAAAGGGGAATAAAAAGGAAACTGAAGAAAGAAAGAAAAATAAAGGAAACAAAAATAAAATAAAACATGTGTAAGAAAAAGACTTCATGGCTTGGTTTGTGCTCTGACGTTCTCTGTCAGCTGTGGGATCTTAGATAGACAGGTGTGGCTTTCCAATTCATGTCCAATCAGCTGAATTTGCCATAGGTGGACTGCAATCAAGTTGGAGGAACATTTCAAGGCTGATCAGTGGACACAGGCTGCACCTGAGCTCAATTTTGAGTTTTATAGCAAAAAGTGTGAATACTTATGTATATGCAACATTTGAGTGTCTTATTTTTAATAAATTTGCAAAATGTTCCAAAAAAAAGTTTTTCGCTTTGTCATTATGGGGAATGTAGTATTTTTGAGGGAAAAAAGGAATTTAATCCGTTTTGGAATAAGGCTGTAACATAAAATGTGGAAAAAGTGAAGTGGTATGAATACTTTCCGGATGCACTGTACTTGATTGCATAAAAGTAATATTAATTCTGAATATTATAACACTAATTATTATTATAATATGCAAGTAATTATAATAAGTAACCTATTGAGTGTGAGCAGGTATCTTTGTGTATAAAATGTATGTATTTATACAGCTCTTTGTTTAATTTAATTTATACAAATAGATTTTTACTTTTTTTAAATCTCTAATTTGCAAGGAAGGGTCAGGACTAGATAAGCTTTTTGCTTCATTCTGTTCCTTCTCAAAACTTTTTATTTTTGATATTCATATGTTGTGTTAATTTATCTTTGACATGTACAGTTGTTTAGTGTACATATGTATTATTTTGTTCAGTGTTTTTGTTTCTAGTTGTTTTTCTGTTGTTCTTAAAATATAAAGAAAAGAAAGAAAGAGAGAAAGATGCTTATAGATCCTTTCACTCAAATCATTTTCTGTCACCCATCCAGATGCATTAACAGTAGCAAAAATCCTGTGCAGAGAAATAAATCCTCGATTCGGCATTCAAAAACTAATCTATAGTGACAATGGAACTCATTTTGTGAATGAAATAACAATAATTTAAAAAATAAAAAGAACATGGGACTTAGATTAAATGTTGATTTAAAACATCATTGTGCCCATCATCCACAGAGTGCAGGCCTTGTAGAAAGACATAATGGTATAGTTAGAAAATAGATTAAAGAAAGCTATGGAAGAGAGGAGAAAAAAAAGCTGGATTTATTGTTTGGACTTAAAATTATAATTATAAATCTATATAGCTCACAATTCCAACAAAAGCTTAACTCCCTTTGAAATCTTATATGGCAGAAAATTTGTAATACCCCACCAGAATCTGAGAGGGAATTAGACATAGTAGATTACATGATCAAAATGTTGAAAACAAAAGAAATCATGAATGCCTATAGAACACCAGATGATCCTCTCCCCCTACAGAGGAGACACCGAAAAGGAAAAAAATTCTGCTAACAACACCCACAGCAGTAAAAATAGCACCAAGAAGTAGTTTCCCTTTGCAAAAATAACCTATATGGGTTTTAGTTGGGAAAGCCTGACTTCAAAGGGGTGCGTCCTTATAATAATAACTTTATTTATTATTTATAGAGGGCGTTCATCTCAATGTCAGTGAAGATTAGATGGTCTTGAATTCCTCTTTC